ACCCCACTCCATCAGCTCCATACGACCGCTCTCTGCCACCGTTTTCGTTCCCTCTTTCTCTGATCCTCACTGTTACTCTCTCGCTCTAGAACTGTTTCTCTCTTTGTCCATCCGCTGGCCATTCTCTGTCCCCACGAACGATGCTGCTCGTGAGCACAGGTGAAAGACACCCGGTCCGAGGCGCGAGAGTCATTAAATAGGGAACGGGAAGGAGAGCGCCACGTTTATTTTGGTGCTCGTTGTTCTCCCGAGGAAGACACCGGGATGCGCGAGCGGGGACTTATGATGGGCTCTTTTTTCGACCGGGTTCGCCCAGGCACGCTCTTGACACCGTAAATTGGCCAACGTCGCTGGAAAGAGTGATTCGTGAGAATGAAACTCGCACGGCCCGCCGAAGGTGGGGCTGTTTTGAGGAAATGGGCCAGGGTGTCGTATGAGTAGGAGCAATTTGAATTGAAAGCGCAGATATTTGTGGGTCGGAGACGCTGGTGTCTTTTTTTTGGATCATGATTGGAATTTTTGTAATTATGTTATAGTAGCTTTGGATACTTGTATGTATTAGGATTATTACTTTTACTTTCCACCCTTTGCAGTCGAAAGTCTCTTCACTAGAAATATTCATAATTTTTTTATGATTTATCGGTGATGCTTTGTATAACTGACACAGGGGAATTATGCGTAAATTAAAGAACAGAGTCGTTTTGTTACAATAATAATATATTGCGCAAAATTTAATATTTAAAATCAAAGTGCGATTAAATAAACAGCGACTTAACGCAACGAAATATTATTTAAAAGTAGAGAAAATGTTAATAGAATTTTTAATTTAATATAATTGAAAATTTGCAATTACAAGTGTAATAAGCTGAAATGACAATAAAATGTTTTACATTTCTTGTTTTTACATTGCCATTGCTGCTAATAATGTAAGAGTTATAATGAAACTTTTATGTTTTTAACTCGTTAATTGTATGATTAGAATTAATGAATGTCATTTCATTTAACTGATTTAATTAATTCAATTAAATTTGTTGAAATAACAAGGAAAAAGTTAATTGAAAACGTAAGTCAGTAAATCTGTAGGTTTAGATAGATAGTTCGTTCAACTCTTAAAGAAATGTAGGTATTTCTTACATAGATATAGGAATTACTACTTTTACTTTTAATTACACCTAAGTAGGGTTTAATCACCGTTTATAGTATAATACTTTCGATGAGACATTTATCTCTTACCTTGCTAACTTGTTAACCGAGGATAATTAGTGAACTCGCCAATTGTAAGTACTTACTGCTGTCTTCGAGTTTAATTATATTATAGTATTCGTTATATAATGAATTACATCGCATTTAAATTTAATACGACATAATTTGTTTCGGATTTTTATTCACCACGTGTAATCTAGTTACGTAAGCTTTACAATCGAACATTTTTATATAATTGTTTTTACTACTTTTTATCATTCTTTTATCCCGAACATTATTATTATTTCTTTTAACTATATTTCATTACAGGAAGATTAAATATCTGTGAAACTTAAGTGTTTATTTGTAAAAATACAGTGTAACAATCTTTATTTCCTTAAATTATTAATGAATTCATAGTAAATAGTACATTTCAATATGATAACTGGAAGTCAACCCGTTTAGATACTGTTTTTAGGTCATCACTTTCTTCTGCCTCATGTTCTTGTTTATTATTATTCTTTTCTTTATTTATTGTACTTTCATTTATGCTAGATGTGTTCGTTTGTATCTTTCTCCGGTGAAAAAACAAAACAAGATATAGGAAATGTTAGATACGAAACGTTCTCGTGATAATTTTCTAAATCGAAGAGGAAAACGATATGAAATGCTTAAAGTGACATGATAATTATACAGTTTCCGTCTTAAAGTTTATGTTTCTAAATCGTCAAAAAGTACAGTAACATTTTTTTTAATACAATTACCTTATGTTCCAAGAATATAAAATTAAAATTTTTTAGATGTGACATTTTCAAATGACAAAAATATATTCTATAAAAATAAAGAATAATTATATCGTTTTACTTTTCTTTCATTTAATCAACAAGATTGTTTACTTACAGCTTCTATTCTATAAGCGCTGTACCAAGAAGTTGTAGAGTAAATTGTAACTTTTAAAGTAGTGAAGTAGAAGCTATAGGTACTTTGGTACTGCAAGTTCCAGTTTAGAATTTGTATTTCAGAATTTGTGCTTAACTTCGATTTAAATGTATTAAACAAGATCTGTACTACTTCCTTGATAATTTTCATAAAACTCTACTTTTTAGTATTGCTTGAGGTAATATTTTACCATTATGTTGACATTTTATTTTTGATAATACGCTGATTTCATTATGTACTTTCTTACACCAATTTACTTGGACATAGAAACATGTATTAAAGAACTTTATTAGACAATGTTTACTATTATATTCCTTGGTGCATTAATCCATTACATGAATTCAAATTTAAAAATCTTCCTATTTCCAACTGTCCTGTCGATACATTCAATGCACCAATATCTATGTAAACTGCCAAAACGTTCAAAATGAAGATCAAGAGACGATAAAAGTTTCCAACGGCGTTCGTTCTCACTCGGCTCACGTACCAGTACCCCAAGACGGTTGTATTATTTATCGCAATTCGAAGATTTCTCGCGAGTTTATCCGGGCGCTCGAATCCGTCGTTATCCCGATGCAAACCCACCGCGCCAATTCCTCCGTGGAACTAATTCATGGGAAGACACGTAACAAAACAAAGAACGGTACAAACTGCCCCGGTGCGTAACAATATTGTAGCGTCAGCTGGCTGTCGGTCCGGAACGCGGACCAGGAATGCCTGGAAAATATTTCGCTCGTCCGTCGCGCGCGTACAGGTGAAACACCGGTGATCGTGACTCGAATAATGGCCGCGCTAAGCGCACAGCGGCCGCTATCTGATCCGGTGCGGCGGACAAATGACGAATGGAGTCGTTCGATTCGGCGAGGTTCGATTTCAATAAATCGGCGAACGCTGGGGGAGAAAACCGAAACGAGGGCGTGTGCTACTCTCCTACAAGTCGGATCGTGGACGTCCAGCGATTTTTCACCGCTAACCGTTCGCACCGGTTCGGCTGCAAATCGAAAATCACGAATCCCGATCATTTTCCTGGCTCCGATACACACGGCCGATCTGATAGAGCTACTGGTTTATCACTCGGAATGCGAATTACTTTCTACGGTCACATTTATCTGAAATTCTTATCTAAACCGCGGTACAATTGGTCTTTTTTAGGGGATAGATATTGGATGTCTTCAAGTTCGCAGAGACGAAATTCGAGGCGAGCTTGTAATCGCTTCTTATCGCTGAAACGTGCAAATTAAGACGTTAGGATCACTGTGGATTATTATAGATTTATTGACAGCTAGATTCTAAGACTACCGGAATTATGTTTAGTTTGATGAAAATTTGTGACGGATCGTGATTTGCTGATCTCTGATCCAGATCTAGCTACACATTTTCCAGTGAAATAAAAACATTAAAGGTTACTGCACTGCTTATTTTATTTTTCTCTTCATAAAGTCGTTTATATTTAACTCGGGGTTCCATTTACTAGCTGTTTTAATAATGAACCTAGAAAAATGTGTATTTTACGATTGACAGAGGCTGATGTTAGTTGGTTTTATACAATTTTAAATATTTCCCGTTTTGCGTTAAATTGGCGGCGTTATCGATTAAATTTAGTTGTTTCGCGTAGTTTTTCTAAAATTTCAAGGATGCTTTATGAAACTTCTAACTTTCTAAATCCGAAGTTGAGTCACGGTGACTCCAGATGTTTGAAACTGGAAAGTCTGAACAGGTCGCAGACTACGGTGAGTCTTCCTATCGGCTTTTCGCATGACAAGTGTATAATTTGCATAATTATCGTGTATCTATTAATTACAATGTATATCGAGGAATCTCGCCGTCTGGTCGTGCGTATCATAAAACGCTCCACTTTCGTAGATACAAACGATGGCGGAGATGGCGAGCTACCTGCGTACAAGCGGTATGTCACGCTCCACTACAAGCGGAACGCGCAACATATTAATTTGAAATTCGTGGCACTGCGAATGAAAAATCGCACATATACAAATGTTTATCTGCTCGAAATTTAAGATCATTTTATGTTCAAACCTTCTCCGTGATGACTAAATTTTTAAGCATTTTCCAACTGACGCCATCTTGAATATCTGAATATCAGAATTTTTCAGTATTTCTGTGTGTTTTAGCAGTTTTAATGATATTGCAAAATAATATAAATTTGTAATTTACTGTTGACGATTATGGGGATGCGGAGGTTACAATGAATCAAGCAAAGTAAATACCATCATTGAATTTTGTAATGTTTACTGTATTTGATTAAATTTCAAAATTATTAAATTGCTATTGCCAGTTTTCATTAAATGCAAGAAGGCAGCGATGTAATTTGAATTTATTATACGTTCCCTTTCTTA